TGCAGGCTGGATAGGATAAATAGTCATTGGACTTAGTAACCAAGAGATTGTTGGTGACCTATATGTGAACATATCTGTGGAGTATCTAGAACAGAAGCCACTCCACAGAGATTTAATGCATATTTAAAATTAGGATGTGAAATTTACACTTACGTTGTGAGCAATTCAAAGAGTAGAAAAGATATTAGCAAGATGTCAATGGGAAGATAGTTCCAAATAAGTTGTTTTTTCCCCTTTTATTATTCTACTTTTTATTTTAACATAAATGTTATTTGAGCATATTTATAAAATAGGGTAATAAAAATAATGATGGAGAGATGGAAAATAGAAAAAGGGATATTTGATGAAACAAAATCCAAAAGAAGGAACCAAGAGCTCAAGTTGAACAACATTTTTTCTTAGAAATGAGGCTTACTCTCTCAGAGAAGTAGTGGAGCAGTTAGCATTTATTAAAGGATTTTCTGCAAAAAACTTGAGAAGTGTGTGAAACCTACTAGACTAATTATTCAATTTTGGACCCTGTGAAGATGAGGGCAATCGGCCTCCCTAATCTGCACTGCTTTAAATAAACAAGTAATGGAAAGTTAACGCTGATGAGTTGAACATGCTAAAAGGTAGTCTAGTAGCCTGTAGAACAGAGAAAGGAAATGAGATAGCAAAGCACACTGGAAAAGGAATGAAATTCACACTAAAGATCCTTAACTTCTTCCATACAGTCTTTATTCTTTCAAGAGTTTGTATTGAGTTTTCAAAGGAGTTTAAATGCCACTTCCCAACCAATGAGTTATAAATCTCTCTAAGACCTTAATGGTTGGTTTAACAATTGCTGTTGTAAGAGGCTGAGATAACATATCCTCCCTTTCTTCTCTTAGGGAAAGATTTTGTGCTGGAAAACAAACATGCAGTGTGGGTATGATAACCATATTTTTTGAGCCAAAGAAATATCAGGACATAATCTGACATGGTCTGGCAAGCAGAAAAATATTTGACTAAGTTGTAACTCCAGAATATATGGTTGCCAAGGAATGAAAGATTCTATTAATAGTCACTGCAAAATAGCGTTTCAAGGAAAAGGAGCGTTCTGGACATCAGAATTTTCTTTGAGGGAGTCTGTGCATACTTATTTCTTTCTGCCCTTGCCTCCCTCCTGAAATATTTGGTAAATGCCTAGGCATGCCAGCCACTGAGGCAGACACCTAGATAGAAAGCTAAATAAGATAGAGTTCCACCATGGAAGATAGAGATTTATGAGAGAACAGTCAGAAGAGAGTGTTGTGTGGGCAGTAATAGGAAAAAGCAGAGCTAGTGCAGAAGCTAAAGCTACTAACTGCCTAGGGTGAACATGTGGAGGAAGATTTGCAAAAGGAGGTGATAAGTGAATTTTCTTTTAAAGGAAAAGTAGAAGAGCTTTAAGGACAAAGATTTAAAAGATATCTTTCCTGCTAGCTATCTTTTCCAGACAAGTTCCCAAGGCTGGATGGTATAAAACATCTCAATGGTGTAAAATTCAGACATTAGTTATGTATGACTAAGGTTCATTCTGATCATTAGAGCCACACTTTACTAGCCTAGATTTTGGAATTCTTAAACTTTTCATAGAGTGTCTATAAAATCTTTTTGTGATCTTTATTAAACTCAGAATTTGATTCGGTATTCTTAAGTTTTCATTGAGTATATTCCTCTTTACATGGATCCATTTGTTGTTTTGTTTTTGTCGGCCATTTAAGTTGTTTGGGGACACTGCTTCAGTTTATAATTTAAAATAAATTTATTAACTGTGAATTGAGAATGCCTGAATTTTTTTTTCATTTTTTGGCTTTTAATAATTTCATAATTAAACAAAAAAGATGCAAGTTAATTTTTATGTTTGACATCATGTAACTTCTGAACTAGGCTAAGTTTAAACCTTTGTAAAAAAATTAGGTAGCTTCTGACCTTTCCAAAGTAGCCAATAGTTTATAATACATGCTTTTGTTAATTTAGGCAATATACTCTCAAAGCCCAAATTATTATTTCTTATAAACTCTAGGGAGTTTATAGGAGTAAGGAAAATTTCCTCAGTTTGGTCATATAAAGAAATGCAAAATTACTCAAGAATTGGTAAATAGTGAGCATCTATTAAAGGACTTTCTGCAAAAATTTTGAGGAGCGTGTGAAACCTACCAGACTAATTATAATTATAACACACTCTAATTATAAAACAATCTCTTCAGGCAGTCTGAAGAGATTGTTTTATAATTAGAGTAAGGTATTTATGCTCATTATTATTGCAAAAGACCTACAATTTGAATATCGGACTCAAAATTACTGTTGTTATTTTAATGGTTTATGGTATGATTTGGATCAGATAAACATGGAATACTTAACTGAAACTAAACATTTTCTAGGTTTCTTTTATCCCCCTTTTGACCTGGTTATAAGCATTGTCTGTCAGCACCTATTAGAAACCCACGCTTCTCTCAGGAAATGAAAACTGCCAACCAATATTTAAAATTCTATCGTTAGACTATTTCAGATTTTCAAGTAATAGCCAATTATTTGATAAGAAATCTCCATTCAAAAAATACCTAAAGTGGACTAAAATAATTTATGGGAAAATAGCATAATTTTACCCAACTGACCTATTTAATCATTTTGTGTGATTTTAAAAATCATTTTCTTAACAGATGAACAAACTACCTCAGAGTAGATACCAAACTAGTATGAAAACACAATCTGATTTTAAATAAGAACCAACCACATTTCCTGAAGAGAATCCTACTATCTGAGCCATTTCCTTGAAGGTGGCAGATATGCAAGATACTATCACCTACACCCACTTTTTCCAAGGTGTGGGGAACCGGAAGCCCTGGAAGGGCTTCTCTTATATTCCCTATTCTGCAACATTTTATCCAAATAAAATCAGATTAAAGTTGGTCTTAGGACAACAGCAGTAAAATATAACAAAAAAATTCAGTTTGCATGGTTCTCTAGGATTGGGTAGGACAATCCACATACTTATTTTGGTTGAAGTTTGAGGAGTAATGGTTTATTAGACTAATCGTGCTTCAATGCATATTAGTGGAGGCCTTATTACATAGGTACTCTCTAGCTGTCTTTATGAATCACTCCTTGCAACTAGTTGTAGCTGAATACAACTCTCAAGGACATTCTGGTTTTCCAACTCCTAGAAAAGCCTACTAGTACATTTGTTATGGTGGCCTGTGTGTCTATAGGTAAGAGCTGTGAGCCTATCTGAAAAAAAATGGAGTCCAAAAGAATCTAATAGAGAAGTAGAAACTAATCATATTGGCTCTAATAGAGTAGTAGAAACTAATCAACCCTGAAATAATCTGGATTTGAGTCAAATTTGACATCAAGGATTAGTTTGATATAACCAATAAAGCATCAGATGTCAAATGCAATTTTTTAAATTTCTATTCCAATGTTTTTAGCCACATCATTACAACCTAAAGCAACCCAGTGGCTAAGGTATATAAATAATACTTTTCCCTAACAGTTATTTAATATTAAAAAATGCTCTTGGGAGGATTACAGGGTCAATGTATGCTGGTTTTGTCCCTGGGCTGGCTCCAAGTGTTTAAACTGATGTTGGGTCCTGCATGTATTTGGTAGAATGATAGTCCTTAGATTCTATTGCTGTAAGTCCTCCTTTAATTTGTTCTATTCCCAAAAGTTGGCTTTATCCCATTCTCTTGTTTTCAATAGTAGACCCACTTCTATAAGAACTATAGGTACTAATAATAGGAAACTAAATTTCTCAAGACTCAAATGAAGATTGGCTTATATTTCAGAGAATAGTCTAGATTTCCCTTTATATGAATTTCTAGCAGCTTGATACAACACATCTATGAAAAGTCATCCTATTTACAACTCACTTGCAAAACCATAATTAAAAACAGGATACAATATTCTAAATGCTGGTAAATTTTGTGTTGATCTTAAACACAAATTATAAAAATATTCTGTCAAGATGATAGATTGATGTTTGTTTATTTTTATTACATAACATTAAATCTGCCTGGCCAGTGTCACTCAGTGGTTGAGCATTTTCCTACGAATCAGAAAGTCTCAATTTGATTCCCAGTCAGGGCACATGCCTGGGTTACAAGCTCAAACCCCAGTGGGGGCATGCAGGAGACTGATGAATGATTCTACCTCATCATTGATGTTTCTCTCTTTCTCACCCTCTCCCTTCCTCTCTCTGAAATAAAAAACTAAACTAAACTCTAATAAAAAAATAAGTTGGCTTTTAAAATCTGTCCTGTAAGAACAAACATATAAAAAACCTATTTTGATTTAATTAGTATGTTTTTCCCCCAATTTTGCTGAACAGCTTAGTTCCAAGATATAAGTACTTAAATATTAAAAAAGAAACTTTAAAAAATAAATCTGTGAAACTTTGAATCTTGAACTCTGAGTCGCAAATTGAAACCCAAAAAGAGAAGTCAGGCCTGTCACTTTCAGAGAAACATTGAAGTGCTTGGATAATTTGTTTATCCTGTTACATTTAATTCCATACCTAGAAAAATATGAAAACATATTTTAAATGAGATGCAATGCAGTACTCAAAAATTAATTTTCACCAATTTTTTTTAAATGGGCCTATTCATTTACAGAGATACAAAGATGAAAATGTTTTTTGAAGCAACACATATATTTAACTAATGCATTGATAGTTTTTCAAAGTTATGACATAATCATACCCTTGAAGCTGATGTAGTTATGCGTTGCATCCCATTGCTGCAACCAGCAAAGGCTTTGCTATCTAGCTGTTATTTGTATGCATGCGATGCATTTCGATCGATATTTTCATGTATAAAAACTCTTTTGGTTTATGTAGAATTTCCTAAATTTTGCATTTGACTTCAAAGATAAAGGAAAAAAATTTCACAAGTGTTTTATTGTTTAACATTACTTTATAACAAGCAGAATTCTTGTAGGAGAAAAGCATGTTTTCTCAGAACTCCAAAGTAACATTGTTTGTGGTCTCTCTGCAGTTAGATCCTGAAGCTAGTGCTATTCTGAAGGAACTTCAAGTTAAACTCAGTGGAGTTCTAGATGAGCTCAGCATCACTTACGGGGAAAGGTAAGTGGCCTGAGCAGTTATTATATTATACTAAGTTTCAGTTCATAGTAGTTATGCCTTCAGCGCTGTTTCTCTCCCCTGACTGGCTAAATCCATTTAACTTGAAGACTTAATCTAAACATCATCTCCTTTGGAAAGTTTCCATGACCCTGCAATCTTACTCTGTGATCCTCAGGACGCTGTGCATCCTTCAGTGGGGTGGCACTTAAAACACTGCTCTAAGTTATGGCTTAACTGCTTGATTCCCTCCCTTTACTATATGCTTCTTAAGGGCAGAAGCCATATCTCATTCCTGTTTGCAACTCTAGTGTTTAGAGCTTACCAGTTGGTTATTGAAAGAATGGAGGGAGGAAGGAAGAAAGAAAACCTTCACATACATAAGTCCGAGTTGCATTCATGTCATACATCTCAATGTGGTTGTACTTTCAAATAACTGAACTGCATCCCCATAATTGAATTAAGTCCAGATTCTAGGTTTTAGGGCTTAGAAATCTAAATGAAACTACTCTGTGGGAAATTACTGACACATTCATATTTTCCCCATTTTTTAAAAAATTAGCTCTACTTGTCCATGGCATTGTTCTAAAGAGGGAGAAGTTTATCCTATATAAGATTCACTTGGTCCTCTAGAAAAAAAACACTACCGTCTCATCATCAAATGTTAAAATAGATAAGAAAGCAAACACATCTTTGAAGAGGTTCTTTAATTTCATATATAATTTGTTTTAAAAGTTTTGATTATTGATTTTTAGAGAGAGAGGAAGAAAGAAAGAGAGAGAGAGAGAGAGAGAGAGAGAGAGAGAGAGAGAGAGAAATCAATTTGTTGTTCCATTTATTTATACATTCATTGATTGTCATAGATGCCCTGACCAGGGATCAAGCCCACAACCTTGGCCTATCGGGACAATGCTCTAACCAACTGAGCTACCTGGCCAGGGCCAGAACTTGGCTTAAATATTATCTCAATAAATGTTGACTTACTATTATAAATTATGCGTTCAGTTATACAATGAAGCTTAAAAATTACTCTTATGGCATGGGCTCTTTGAACTCCACTCATTACTCATTGTTTTTGGAAAGGTACATTTTAATGGGCATTTTATGGATTAGTTATGTCAGTTGAGATCAGAGACCAAAAAGTAAATGACACTTGAAAGCATCGTATTTTCACTCAAATACAGGAATGAGGCAAAGTAAAGAAAATTCCCTAGTGGCCTCCTCTTCAGGGTTAGGGTGTGTTCTTTGTCTTTGCGGAGCTCATCCTCACAGTTCAGGTGCTGAGGGAGAAGAAGCCTGGCTGTACCAGCTTGGGGCAGTCACTCTGCCTTCTGTCTGTGTTGCTAGCTGACCTGGGCGATCCTGCTTACTTGACCTCGATGTGTATAAGGCAGTTGAAGGTTTTGTTTACCTGCAGTTGGAGAGGCTGACATTGTCCTAGACATTTGGAAACTAATTGGCTGTGACTTGGGGGTGACACCTAGTGATGGTGCCTTCAGTCAGCCACTTTAGGCTTACCTCTTTATTCCAGTTGTGAATTAATATGTGGTTAGCAGAAAGACTGTTACCTTCAGCTAGGAAGGCAAAGATAGAGATTATTTAGCAAGGCGAAGGGGAGAGAAAAAGTGGTCAGGAATAGCTAGGGGTGTTTGGAACTTTTTCTGAAATAAGATGACTAAACAGAATGGAAACTAGAGTATGAATAGAAAAAGTATATTTAAATTACTTTCTGTAATATATCCAAGTCATCTTTATGAGCAAGTACCTTTTACTTTGGACCGTTTTATTTTGCTTGAAAAAACTGGAGCAAACTTCAGTTATGAAATAAGGAGTGGTGTCCTTAGGCGGGCACTTGAAGTACTCTCCTCACACGAAGCCAGCTATTTTAACCTAGATAGTGAAACTCCTGGTTCCCTAATATCTATCTCTTCCTTAGTCTTTGCAAATAGGAAAAATCTAATACTTCGCTTACTTAGGGCTCTAATTATTGGAATAAATAACCCACATGTCATGTTTTCCTTATAAAAAGAGTAATTCTTATGTCGTTGTTGCTATGGTTTGATTTCCCGCACTACTAACCAGGTCTACATCACACACATGGGTAGGTGGGAAGCCCGTACTGATCAGTGAGATCATGCTGTGAAGTTAAACTGGACACTTTTATCTGAATATTAGAGTCTAAATTAGTGGTCTAGAGCTTCAAAATTAAGTACATAATTAATTGCCCAAAGTGCATTTTATCTGTTGTTATTAAAACCCACAACAAAATAATTCTACTGTATGTACCTACAAGGATGATTTTGTAGGAAAGCCAGGGAAGCCAAACCGTACATCTGAAGGCTGGGTTCCTGGGTTCCTGGGCTCCTGACATGGTCACAGAGCACCCACCTGGGAACTGAGACACAGTAATACCACTTCAATGCTATCATATAGATGTTTTTAAAATTGCACAGCTTGTGCCACTTGGGTTTTTGCTTGCACATATATTTTTCAGTCTTATTTTTTTGGATTTTCTATATTTATTTGAATGAAATATTTGGTACCAGCAGCTGGCTGGATTAAGTAAACAAATAATTCAGGAACATTTTATAGGAATTCTTCTATAAAGTGAGTGTTTGGCTTTTTGGGTGCTCACAGAGTCTGTCATTTTTAACTGGTAATAACTCAAGCTGATTAGTAAAGACTTTTTTTCAACTAAATAAATAGATAGAAAAAAATCTTTTTAGGTGAATTTACCAAAAATTGATAGAATGAGATTTTTAGCTGAAATGCACGTGTTAGTTCACCCTGGACTAATGCCAAGATAGAAGGCCGTTATCTCTCATGCAACTGATCCCCTTCCTCCATATTCCTGATCCCACACACAGAGCTCATTTCTGGTGGGGGTTTACCATGTGGGTCTGTTATAGAAATCTATTTATGCATTTTAGGAATGTGAGTATCATACCTTCTGCTCAGTCTATCCTCTACTGACTTGAAAATTGGTGCAAAAGAAAGTAGCTATCTCAAAAGTGATTATCACTACACTCAACAGGACCAATGATGACCCATGGGTAAATCAACAGATCAAAATGTCCAACATTACTTACCTTCCTTTTCCATTGCCCCAAATATCCTCCACCTCTACTCTCACTAAATAAGCATACCACCATCTCCACCACCCCCTTTCTCACCTTCTTCACCCTCCCATCCACCCTCCCCAAAGGCAGGTCTAGCCAGGTAAAAGGCAGATGGTCATGCATTTGAATTCCTTTGGCCCTGAGCCTGAAAGAGGATGTTCCATTGAATTAGATAAATATGCCGAGAGCCAAGAAATGAGCCACATCCATAGGGGCATGCTGATAGCCAAGAATCAAGGAACCAGATACAAATGCTGGGTCCAGAGGAGCAAGAATGTTGTCAAAGGTAAAGAAAGTCACGAAGAAGGCACAAAGCAAAGATGGAAACAGGCCAACATGACAGCAGAAGTAGAATCAAGCCTTGACGATGCACTCAAAATTATGGACCAATATTTATAAACCTGCTATAACAGGTCCAGGAACAAGAAAAACACCCAAGTTGAGATCATTTAAAATTTATCATAGATTTCCCATATTAGTCAGTTTAATAAACCAGTCCAGAGTTCAGATTACAGGTTATGTCTCCAGATGTATATTTGGGAATTACCAGTGTATTGATTTCATGAAAGCCATTGGGATTAGATATGATTGCCAAGAAAGTGATTTTTTAAAAAATATATTTTATTGATTTTTTACAGAGAGGAAGGGAGAGGGATAGAGAGTTAGAAACATCGATGAGAGAGAAACATCGATCAGCCGCCTCCTGCACACCTCCTACTGGGGATGTGCCCGCAACCAAGGTACATGCCCTTGACCGGAATCGAACCTGAGACCTTTCAGTCCGCAGGCTGACACTCTATCCACTGAGCCAAACTGGTCAGGGCAAGAAAGTGATTTTTATGGAGTGATCCAAGGATTGAGCCTAGATGATTACAATATAAGGTTGCCAGATAAAATATAGACTATGCCCAACCAAATTTGAATTTCAGATAAACAATGGATAAGTTTTAGTATGAATATGGGGCATACTTATACTAAAAATATTCACTATCTGAAATTCACATTACTGGGCATCCTGTGTTTTATTTGCTATGTTTGGCAACCCTGCTCCAATGGCTAACAGGTAATAATTGAGAAGGAGCATTCAGTGAGGTTAGAGGAAAGCCAAGAAGGAGTGGCATCCCAGAAGCCAAGTGAAGAATGTGAACCCAGACACCAAGTATCTTTCAAGAACAGTCATTTTCCCAAATAATTCTCAGACGAACACCTCAGCTATTACTGTGAGAGATAAGGGCCAAACGAACCCCCACTCAAATTCATTCAATGTGAAGAGCTTTATATGTGTGAGTTCCAAGTAAGCTTTCATTGCAACAACATTTTTTTCAGCTGAACAATTAAGTTTGAAAATTAATGAGCAAGGGAATTCACACTACTTGAAACAGATCAAACTCCCGTGGGGTTAATTTAAAAACATGAGCAGAGAAAGGCATAAATGCTTTTATTCAGGTATTTATATTCCTTATTTTTAGTTTCCAGCTTATCATTAAGGAGTGTATAAAACAGATGGGATTTGAACTAAATCAAATGAGAACAAATGGAAATACTGCATCTAATAAGAACAGTGCGGCAATGGATGCAGAGATTGTATTAAGACCTCTCATGGACTTCTTGGACAAAACGTAAGTTCTCTACCCAGTTTTCTCTTTATTAATTGCCCTAAATTTGACTAATATGGTTTGAAGGGGAACAATTGTTTTCCTCTGTGTAGGACAGTTTTAAAAAGGCTTCTACAATATTAATTCATCAAAAAGCAAAACACTTTTCGTCCATTACTAGTGGCCAAAAAGCAGGAGTGATTTTGAACAGGAGGAATCATGGAAAGGACCTAAATATTGGGAACTGAGGAGGTTGCTATTCTGAGGGGGAAGAGCTTGAGGATGTTATGCTCCTCAGAAAGCATATCGTTTTACAACCTGTTGAACATTTAAAAAAAAAGACTGAGTTAAGTCCAGAATATCTGATTTTGGGTCAGAAACCTACTGAGGAAGAGAATAGCACAAATGTGACTAGAATTAATTCAGCTCGGAGGCCAGTAAATAGCTGCCCAACTCAACCTCCAGCAACTACTTATTGAGCGCCCATCTGTACCAAGCCTTAGTCTAGGCATTAGATAGTGAAAAAGAGAAGCAGAGGCCCTGACTCCGTGGAAAGTACAGGTTAGTTGGTGGGAGTGGGTGAGAATGGAGGCCTTTATGACCAACTAAGACAGTGTTCTTAACCAAAAAGTTTTGTTTGCTTGTGTGTGTGTGTGTGTGTGTGTGTGTGTGTGTGTGTGTGTGTGTGTGTGTTTTGTCTTGTTTTGTTTTGTTTTGTTTTGAAGTTTCTGCTCAGTCCCTACTCTTAGAAGTTCTAATTTCATAAGTTTGGAGTCAAGGCTCCTATGTTTTTGTGTTTTTTTAAAAATATATTTTATTGATTTTTTACAGAGAGGAAGGGAGAGGGATAGAGAGTTAGAAACATCGATGAGAGAGAAACATCGATCAGCTGCCTCCTGCACACTCCCTACTGGGGATGTGCCTGCAACCAAAGTACATGCCCTTGACCGGAATCGAACCTGGGACCCTTGAGTCCGCAGGCTGACGCTCTATCCACTGAGCCAAACAGGTTAGGGCAAGGCTCCTATGTTTTAACATGTGTCCGAAATTGGGAACTGTTGATCTAAAGCAACCAGAGACTTGACTTCTTAAACAGTGATACTTGAAACCAGAGTTGAAGGTAGAAGAGAAAGGCAAAACATAATTTTGAATGCCTACCAAGGGACCGGTGTCATACCTGGTAGTTACATATGTTACTTCATTTAATATTGTTGTGGCAAATTAATTAATGCCAAAGGGACCAAGACAAATGAGAAGGATGCAATACTTCTCTTTAAAGATAAAAGCAAAGAAAAACCTAGGGAAAAGCTCTTCTATATATTTATAACTTCTATTTTAATTCCACTTCCCTTTGCTTATAATCTTACACATGAGTAAAACTAATGTTCCCATCACTTTGATTTCAGTGTTTGGTAGGTATGTTAAGTCTTCTTTTCTGTCCTCTATGAGGAAATGTCTAGAAGACAGATGAGTAGGTAATTAGCTTAGCAGGAGGTAGGCAGGCAAGTGGGGGTGGACGAAAGAAGTAGCAGAAAGTAGAAAGGAAAGAAGGAAATAAAGGTAGGAAGAAAAGAGAGAAAGAAAGGCAGGGAGAAAGACTTCTCATTTCTTTTGTTTCTTAATGTAGACTTTTATCACCTAATACCTTATACAACCCCTAAATGTTTATTTTATTGTATGGATCTCTACTATGGGCAACACAGAATTGAACCACATGAATACACTACCATTTGGGTGCCCATGTGAAGGTGAATCAAAAGCAGGACAAAGCAATTCTGATCCTCTGAAAACTCCTACTGGAATGCCTTATGTTTTTAGATTTCTAACAGCAGTGTGTTGATATGTTATTTATCATTAGCAAAACTTTGTATTTTGGGATATACTGTAACCAAAAGTTGTGGGACATACAGAAAGTTTTAAGTTATCCTGATACTGTCAGCTACTAGCTGAGGGACCTTCAATCCATTTTACCATCTATAAAATGGGGCTAATACATGAAGTAAGTAAACCCTTCCTTTTAGTATATTTTAGAGTCCTATTTTACTCAGTTTTAATTTTCTATTTCTTATTATACTTAATTACATCATCATACATATAATTATAAGTATTAGTAAAGATGGTGTATAAAGATAGAAAAAACATCTATGAGCTTCAAAATTTGTGACAGAGATTTGAAATTTTTTGGCAAGAATTATTATATGAGTCATAAAGAGTTGAAAGAATTCTAAGGGTAATTCAGAGTGCATAACCCTAAAGCCACTTATTAGGGGAGATTTTTTTAAAATCATATTAATTCTATTCTCAAGATTAGGGGGGGGGGAAATAAGGAAGGTATACAAGTAAACACAATAAGGTCTAAAGAAATAATCTCCTGGTCAGACAATCAGTATAAATTTGATTTGGGTTGTTTTGTTTTTTTGTTTTGTTTTGTTTTGTTTAATGATTTTTATAGAGAGAGAGGAAAAGAGAGTGGGGCAGAGAGAGCTGCCTTCAAACTGGCAATCCTATAGTACCCTGGGCAATGCCCAACCAACTGAGCCACACCAACTAAGGCTGATTTGGTTTGGGTTTTTAAAGATGGATTGGGTTTGAATATATGGAAATGAGGGATGAACATTTCCAGGGGGTGAGAGAAAGTTGAATATGTTATCATGAAAATCTTATCAACTATATGACAGGATATCTCCATGGCCAACTAATATATAGGGCATTTGACAATTTTCTGGTTAATTGGTTCTGTGATCAGAGAATCTAGACAGCTCTGGTTCCAAATACATACTTTTTGGCTTACATCATCAAGTTGATTATCTCTGACTAAATTAAGGAAGCAGTTGCTAGATGCCCCAACTTGGGGTGTGTTGTTGTTTTTCCTGTTATTTAAAATTAGCAATAGTGAGCTGAAAGTCTTCCAGGTAGCTTTGAGAAAGTCTCCTTAGAAATTGTATAGGCTCTCTTTGTCTTTGTGCAGCTTCTCTAAATAAGACATCTTATTTGTTTATGTTTCATTTTCTCTACCACAACCTCACCACTCTCTAAAACGAGCTATAAACTTCCAGCTGGCAGAAATCTCACGCAGAGCTGCAAACATGCCAGTGATTCTATACCCATTCATTCAGTTCCAGTCTAAGCAGCGGTCATTAGCACGCCAAGTACATGAGCTGCCCATAAAAACAAGATCAATTCTTAAACTCCGATCTTTTAAAAATGGAAATTACACATCTGCTGACAACATGGCAGATTTTTTGCATCTTACATTATCCGAGGGATTCCTCTGAGGCTAGACATCTTGGTGTTCTGCTGTGAGACATCTGCTGGCTTCTGCCCTATGTCCAGACGTTACCCTTGAACAACTGTTGCTAAATGACGGGGGCTACAGAGTTTCATGAATATGCCTCTGGGTTCCCAACTCTCCTCTTTATCCAGAGGAGGTGTTTTCATGCATTTTTTGTTGTTGTTAATCCATCTGAAGATCTCTTTTCCATAGATTTTTAGAGATAGTGGAAGGCAGGGAGAGAGACAGAGAGAAAGATACATCGCTTTGAGAGAGACACATCAATTGGCTGCCTCCTGCACGCGCTCTGACCAGGGCCAGGTATTGAGCCTGCAACCGAGGTACATGCCCTTGACCGGAATTGAACCCAAGACCCGTCAGTCCACGGGCTGATGCTGTAACCACTGAGTGAAACCAACTAGGACTCATGCATTTTTATATATTCAGTATTCACATTCTATAGTGTTAGGAGAAATACTTCTACATGAAAATGCATTTTGGAAATCTCTCCCTTTGCCTCTCACATGTCACATGGCTTTAAATATTAATTATTACTTTGATTATTTAAATGTTAATTATATATTTAAATATTTAAAGCAGTCAATTCTACCTCTCTCAGAACCACAACCCAGGTTATAATTCCTGAGTCCAAAAGTATACAGAGTATTTAGCACACTGTCATCAGTGAAGTTTTCGTGACATGTATGACCCACCTTTGGCACACTGTGAAATACGTTTGATTAGCTCTTCTTAAAGTCTCAGAGTTCATTGTCATCTTTTGGGACATTCAGTAAATATTTATGCAGCAGTGTGTCTTCATGTACTGCTGGGCCTTCATACACAAACACATTTATCAAGGACAGTGCGGGGCATGTGGATTTAGAGAAAGGGCCTGGCTTTGAATCTAGTCCTCACCGGCGTCACTTCTTTGGGCAAATTCCCTAATCTCTCTAAGTCTGTTTCTGACTTCTGAAATGTATACAGTAATAGGTGAGAAATATCTGTAGAAGAGGTTACCAAACAATGATGTTATATAAATGTTAGATGATGTCACCATCATTATCTCACCACGGGAACAATTTGTAACAGATGCCTTAAACCTATTAAAGTTGGTAAATTTGGAATCTTAAAACAAAACTGAACTCGGAGAAACAGAGCAACTTTGGTGGTTGCCACAGGGGATGGGGATGTGGGGGAAAGGGTGAAGGTGGTCAAAAAGTACAAACTTCCAGTTGTAAGAGAAATAAGTCCTGGGGATGTAACGCACAGCATGGTGACTGCAGTTAACAATAATGGATTGTGTAGTTGAGAATTGCTAAGAGAGTAGATCTTAAAAGTTCTCATCACAAGAAAAAGTTATAAATATGTGAGATAATGGATGCTAACTAAACTTATTGTGGTAATCATTTCAAAATATATACATACTAGTATATCAAATCATTATGTTGTACACCTTAAACTTACCACCATGTTATATGTCAATTGTATATCAATAAAACTGGAAAATTAATAAAGTTGATAAATATCGGCTCTTGAGGGAAATTGTATGCATCTTTGCCATGTTGTTATGTTGGCTCAGAGCCAGGTAGTGATCAGATGAGTTTGGTTGGTGTTTTGCCTGAACCATAACACAGAGCATGTAGTAAACACAAGTCGGAATAAGGGTGAAACTTTGGGTGCCTTGGGGTCAATTTAGGAAACAATTTAAGTATTTAAGTAAATAAATAGTCTGAATTCATTTTCTACTAATTAGTGAGTTATCTAATATATCGTATGATGAAATAGATTTTTGATATGTATTTTTTATTTGAAATTTAGTATTTGAATACTGTAAAGGCCTATTTGGGTATTTGAACCACAGTATTGAGAAATGGGAATCTCTAATCAATAAAATAAGTTGAAACCTGGATAGGAGATTCCTAAGTGATTGTATGTCTTATTTTACTTCAGATTGAGTCTCTCAGCAAAAATCTGTGAGAAAACAGTTCTGAAGCGACTTTTGAAAGAGCTGTGGAAGCTAGTTCTAAACACAATAGAAAAACAGATTGTTCTCCCTGCTCTGACAGATCAAACAGTAAGTGTTTAAACTAAGTTTGATTTTACTTTCAATAACCCATCTAATTGATTTCTGTTTTAGTGAGTGGATCTGATCCAGATGAAGTATTAATTAAACCCACTTTGAGAAAAAGTGTTTGGTATACAATGTCTTAATAATGATCATTCAAATAACATTATTCTATGCAAATCAATTTTACATAATGGGAATAGCAATCACACTACATCTCTTGAAAAAATGTAGCAAAGTTAAACTTATAGGGTTATCTGGCCTACACACATAATTTTTTAAATATTACTGTGAACCTCCAAAGAATTCGATTTAGGCTAGAACATCCCCACTGTGTTTCTTTCTGAAACCTCACTCTTTAAGGAGATAAATTCAGCACTACCATATGGGATTTTTTTTTCCTCTGTACATTTTGCTTTCATCTATTAACTTCCCCCATGGAGGTTAATAGAGGACACATCTTTTAGAGGATTTGAAGCACATAATTGTATCATACACAGTAAAATGGAAAAAGAACCAGAAAGGTCGATTGGCAGCAAAGTTAGACCATGGCCAAATGGATACACCGTGCTAGGATTCTCAATTCCTAGATCCTGAGCCAAGTAAGTTAAAAAATAATCCTAACAAGCACCCATTATAGAGTAATTTTCTTTTTTTTTTCTGTGAGGAAGACAAGCTGATGAAAATAATGTGTAATTTAAACTAAAATCTGTGTTGAGCCCTTAATTATGCACACTCATATTTCTCCAATGAAATTATATAGAAAATATTTTCATGTAAAGTGTTTCAAGATGCAAAGATACATATGTTTTTATTGATTTACTGCCAACAGTGAGTGATAAAATATAAATTAATTTAAGTTTTGCTTTATGCCATTAATGTGTGGTATCATTATTTGTACATATGAGTAGCCAAATCACATGTAAACACCCACCCACACACACACAAACACACACACACACACACACACAACACCCCCACACAGACCCTGCTCTGCTACAATATGTAAGGCATTTCTAAAACACCAGTTAGTGATCATGTAATTGGCTTATATAGAATTTTCCTAGGTCAGAGGCTTTGGAATATAATAGGAGAACTATAAACTTCAGAAAAAGAAAAAAAAAAGGACTAAGCTTGGTTATTACATAGGCAAGTGTCCTTTCATCCCCAATTTTAAAAAAAGTATTTTGTCTGGCTGGCATGGCTCAGTGGTTCAGCATCGACTTATGAACCAGGAGATCAGGGTTCAATTTCCAGTGTATGGCGTGCAGGGGGCAACCAATCAATGATTCTGATCATTGATGTTTCTATCTCTCCCTCTCCCTTCCTCTCTGAAATCAATAAAAATATTTTTTAAATAATAATTTCAAGTGTGGGGAGAGTCCACTTGTCCATAAGCCTTCGATCCAGAAAGATGCACCTTTCATGACTCACACTCGGCAGGCTACCCTCCCCCTGCTTGTATGGGTATTGTCTCAGCCCATAACTGTACTCTCTTGTTTTGTTGTTCTTTGTTTGGGGTATGTTTTTGAATTTTTAATATTCCTTGAAGCAGCCACTAGCCTCAATGAGCAACCTACATGCTACCTCCCAAAGTAGCATTTCTTGTTTTTGACAGTTATTTGTTAACAAAATTACATAAGCTTCAGCAATGCTGCCCACTGCTATTTCCCCCATGAGCCCTACTGTTTCTAGTGCACAATTCTGTGGAGTATGAGAAGACATAAATCATGACATAGCAAAAATACTATCGACGACATTTCGCTTTTGATATAGACCTTCCCTGTGAAAGCTGACCATAACAGTTTTCTCTAGCATTGAGATCTCTCAGTATGAAGCTATATCACTTATTGATTCATTCCATTTATGTTCTTTGAGGTTCTACTACAGTATAGTAGGTACTGTGCTGGGTGCTGGAGATAAAATAAGGCAAAATAAGTCAGTTGCTATGTTCATGAACTTTGTCATTTCTAATTTCCTAATGAATATACAGGCTCCACTAAAAAAATGGAGATTTGTTTCTCCAGAATGATTGTTTTTCTTACTGTGAAAATATTCTAGATTACCAATGAACTTAGTCAAAGTTATTACTTTTCTTGTCACATTTACCAATAGATATGCCTCTAGCTATTTATTCCAGTAGTGTGGTGGATGGCTTATTCCAGTATTTTATTTCCAGGATGTTAGGCTTCTAGGAAGAGGCTACAGCTGAGGGAGGGTTTGGGAGGGCAGGTTCTCAGAATTGGCACAGCATCTCAGGAGTAACGGCTCACCTTCCTCAGCTCCGTATCTTAAAATTTTGCAGATTTATTTTGGGAAGGAATGGAGTAAAGCAGTTGCCTCATTTGAAGGTAAATTAATGAAATTTAAAGATCACTGATTGAATCCACATACTAAACTGACTATGGAAGCAACAATCCATTCAGTAACCGAGACTCACAGCCTGCAGAAGTAGGGTACCTGTGAGGACAATTATAAGCTAGCAGTACTAGATATCTTTGACCCAATCTGTAAAATAGACCTACTAAGGGCATCTGGCATAAAAGTCACCAATAATATAGGGAAATAAATCAAATTCTCTTTTGACCACATTTCTAATGCAACTATTACTAAAGCTTTTAAGACTAAATCTTCCCTCTCTCTCTCTTTTTTTAATGTGTATCTCTAGGGACCCCAGATGATTTTCATCACTGCTAAAGATCTTGGACAATTATCGAAACTAAAGGTAATAAGAATTCATAACATTACTGGTTGTCTGTGAAAAGTTATGAGCTAACTGCAGCTCTGCAAGAAACCATCCTCCTACCAGTTATGGTATCTACCATGGCAGGACTAAGAACATGTGTGTCTGGGATCTCACAGTCTGCTTGAAGGAGGAATCAGGTCAAATATAGGGACTGAATTTTGCTTTTTTTCCCCTTTCCACCATGTTGCTCACATTTTCCAATTAGGAGGGCAACTACTAATTGACTTTGTATTGTAGCATGCAGCATTACTGCTTTTGGAATAAATTAGAGAACGTACTTCCTTTCATATATTAAAATGGCTTTATGTGAATAAATGCAAATTGCAATGTGTCATAGAAATCCAATAAAGTCTAGAGGTCTTATAGGCAAAAGGTCTAATTGGGAAAATGAAACTCCTCAAAGCAGATATTAGATTTTCAACATATTAAACACCATTATAAATGAGAATTTGCTGACTAAATAACCCTGCCCTTTATTATCACTTGAGATCCTTAATACTTTGCAGCTATGATGGGAACTTGACTAGTCAGGATAGGAAGTTGACTGGTTAAAACACATGTTATTGTTCTGTGACTGGTTTATTTCACTTATCATAATGTCCTCCAACTTCATCCATGTTGTCACATATGGCAGGATTTCCTTTGTTTTAAAGGCCAAATAATATTCATTGCATGTATATGCCACATTTCTTTCATCCATTCATTCATTCATCAGTAGATCACACATAGGCCAACATTGTGACTATAGTCAAAATACATGCTGTTTTGTTTAATTTTTATGGATTAGAATATAGTGTCGCATGGGGGGGGATTCCAGACACAGATCACCTTGGCTCCAGTTCTACCTCAGGTGCTTCCAACTATGGTGACACCAGCCAAAGTATTTAACCTCTTTAATGTTCAGATGTGGGATTTGTAAAATGCAAAACAGTTTAACACTTGGTCCATGGGACTGTTGGAGGCTAAGTGAGATAATGGGACACTATCTTTGCATAGTAACTACAAAGAGAATAACACCTCCTACTGCAGAAACAGCTATTTGTCTCCTCCCCCAGCTGGCAGCTCCCAGTTAGGTATCACAGAATTGTTTTGTGTGTAACACACAGGGGGAGGATAATCCATTTGACTGTGTAATTACTTATTCTGATAAAAATAGCTACCCTGTAATTTCAGAATCCTGTTTTATTACCTACATTATCCCCTTCCTCAGGAAAATAAAAAGCCAATAATCCATTTAGAAGACATAACCATCACTTAAAATTGTTTTTACAGGTTTTCAGTGATTTCGATAGTTTAAAGGGAAGGTAGATGTCACTGCCAGACTATTATTTTGTATCTCGGATCTCTTTATCCCTCGTACACCTTCCTGGGATTTCTAGTTTCTACTTTGAAAAATGAATTTTACGTGTTGAAGTTGCTCCTATAAAACCATGAAGGTGAAACATCATAGTGTGTCATTACAAAAGAAATGGCCCTGGCCACGCTTCTAGCATCTGTGTGATATTAGGAAACATACTCCATCTCCCCACGTTTCCATTTCCTGAATGGATCGTCACATCAGCTAGAAGTGTTTCAATTCCAGGTGATGAAAAGCCAGAGTAACATAAGCAAAGAAGGATTTTTATTTCTACATGAAACGTTATAGTCCTGGGCCAACTCTGTTTTCTATCACGGCTTGATTAAGAACCCAAACGGTGTTATAGAACCCAGTTACTGCCTCCCAGCTGCGCTTGCCTTATGTGATGTGTTGCTGTAACGTACCCCCCTTTCTGTTTGTACAATAGCTGTCTCTGCTCAGTATCTAACATCTTGGGACCAGAAATCTTGTAGAGAATACCCACCTTGATGCAAGGAATTCCAGCAAAGCCCACTGGCACATCATCAGCTCTGATGGAGTGTTATCACCATTCCCAAGCCAACAACTGTGGCCTGGGGAGTGACATATGCCATTTGCCTTAACTCACATAGGCACCCCTGATTTGCAGTCAGGCCTATTCAAATCTTATAAACTCTGCGTGGGAAGGAGACTGGCTCCTCAGAGGGTATATGCATGCTAGGTGAGAAAAATCAGAGTCCATGCTAAGTTAGGTCCCTTTGGAGCCCCCATATTTTATCAATTCAATTAATTCTCTTTTGATTGTAATAAACTAATAACAGGTACTCTACTTCTAATAAATTAATCATCTGTAATTATGAATAAAATGTACGAAAGGGTTAGTGCATCAACACTGTGATAATCTGAAGGACTAAAAATAGAATCTTGGTATCCATAGGTGGTGGAAAATAACTTAGTTCTGTATCATATTTTTCTATTGCTGACCCTTGCTTTTTTTTTAGTTTTAAATTATTAGTCCATTTAATTATTACTTGAATTACAAAGCAATACATCCTCTATAATCATATCCAAAAACTTAAAATTCTAGCCATAAAAAAGAACTTGAAAATTTACAAAGCTATTTTCCCTATGTCACTAGAATATTACTACTAATTTTTTAACCTTTGGGCCTTTGCATTGTTTATATATTAGTATGAAATCAGATTTGGTTTACTGGAAAAGTACTATTTAAAATAATTGTACTGATGGATAAATTTAGAAATCCTATATAGAAATATTAACAAAATATAAGCTTACTTAAAAGAACACAGGATCAAAGAAAATAGAATAATGAGGGAACTAAAATTTTGAGTGGATTCATAAAACAAGTATTTATTTAGCAGTTGGATATATATTTATTACCTCCTGTTTCTGGAACTTCATAATGTATAGATATTATGTATACCTAACTTTTGACTATTTAATGGGATCAAATTTGTCATAATATTTTGAATGAATACATCTTATAGACAAGTGGTAATACAATATCAAACCAATGAAGAAAAATACATCTGAGACTATGGGTTTATCATAAGCAAAGGTAACTCATTGGGCAATAACTCATTGCCAGCCTCTTTCAAAGACTCCCTTATTTGAATGAGCTATTGTTAAATCCAAGAAAAATTTTTCTAGCAAGAATTATGGTTTTCTACAGCACCACATATATTATTGATTAACATCTATTAAACAATTTGAACACATTGTAAAGCTAGTCAAGACTGATGAAGCCCGAGATTTATTTAATATAAAAGATTTGTATTTACTTGCCTATCCTAAAGCATTCCCCCCTATAATTCAGCAAACATTTTTCATTACTCTTTGAGCCTCAAGGGTTATTTAATATTTATGTTTAAAAATATTAAATGGACACACATGTTTGAGTTGAAATCCCTGTATCAGAAAGATACAGTGAGATGCAGACATGTATACCATGGGTCCATGAAACATTATACCGTGGTTTCAACATTCAATATTCAAAGGAATGTGATTCTATTTAAGCATGCTGAACTTTACAAGATAAGGTGAAAGAAGTGCAATTCAGTCCCAAAACTATATTGAATGCCTAGCAGGTGATGATTGCCAAGATAGGTACTGAAAGGCTGCAGAAGTAAGACACAGAAACCACCTTCAGGAAGTCGTGGCATCTACTAACAGCATACGGGATAGAACAGAGCGATGAGCCACTAGTTTTGATGGCACAATTTGTGAATTGAACAGAGTTAATGAACTGGTTGTTTTATAACCATTCCTGGCTACGGTAGCAAATGATGGTCTAAATAAAGCCCAGGCTCCATTTGCCAAGCCATACGTGCTGATGTGGGGCTGTGCCCCATAGAAAAAGAGACACCTTTTATTACTGACCAAAGGCACTGACCCATGAATCAAGCCATGCATTCCCGAAGCTGTGTACACCCATAAGGCCATTTCCTCAAATTCACACAAAGACACCTGTAGAAGCTAGAATTTAAGTTCCAGGGGGGCAAAAGTCTTTCTTTATTCGACATATGTCTCAATCATCTGGAACAGTACTGGCACATAATGAGCACTCAATAAATATTTGTTAGATTTTATTGACTAGAATAGTGGCAGCCTTGGGGAGATTGTATTAATTGGGGAATTCAGTAGTTTTAACATTGTTCTCTTAGACAAATTTCTATTTTTATTTTTGTCTTCAATTTTCTACCATCATTTCCCTACAGAAGCTTTGACTAATGGATTGAGATAGTCCGCATTGAACAATGAGAAAAATCCATTGTAAAATATGGAAATCAGTTCTAAAATATTGAAAACTTATTTTGAAATATTGAAAATATCTAGTCCTAGATTCAGTTAACCTTTCCTAGTAATGACTAAGCAATAAGGGGCTCCAAGAAAGAGAATAAATTGAAGGCATGATACATAGTCTTTATCAGTAGTAATTGAGAAAGGCTAGAATTCACCTCTTAAATCTTTTCCATATTGACCTCCTTTAGTCTTAAAGAACATAAAGCAAGAAATTAAGGTGAAAAAGCTTTGACTCACATTTTTCAGGTTTCTCTCTTTTGTTTTAACATTAACTTGTAAGTGGGGAAAAAATCATAATAAATCAAAGTACTATTCTTTAAGTAAATATTTACTAGTAGCATTTCTTCTTTCGGCAAAATGGCTATTTAATATATGACAAACTAATCATCTGAAAAGTGTCAATAGGAAGAAAATATTTCAAATAAAAATGTTTTCATATGGGGATTATACAGTTTTTGTTTGAAAATAGTTAAGCTAATGAACTGGTATAAGCAATTATTAACCTGTTTAACAGGAGCACATGATTCGAGAGGATGCCAAGGGTCTGACGCTAAGACAGTGCACCATAATGGAGGTGGTCCTGGCTACCATCAAGGTAAGGTTACAGTGCCTCTGGATATGCATCGGAATCCCCCGTGTGCCTTCAGAGAAAGGTACCCCAGATGCATCTCTGTAGAGCTGTGCCATCCACGGACAGTTGTATAGATGAATTCCTGAAGTGTGTCCGGTTATCCCGTATCACCTTATTACATCCATATTACTGCCCTTTTATTTGCCTCCTTTATCTAGCTCTAAAAATGTGTGTGAAACCTATCTTGTAACATGTTTTCAAAGAAAGACATAGACTATTCCCAAAGCCCAGTTACACAGATGCCTCATGGGATTGGAGGTTAACAGAATTTCTTTTTATGTGTTCTATACTTGTTGAAATGGTTTTTAAAAGATCAATCCCCTCTCTCTTAGTGCAATAATTTAATTTTCTGCTCAAAACTCAAAGGTATTGTGCTGTGTGCATCAATTTTTCATAGCCAAAGGTTGACCAAAAGTGGTAGTGTGGGCTAGATGTGGGAAGATCTCAAAATTTAACTTAGAATTTCTTTGTTTTCATAGATCCCTTATATATTTATGTACATGAATTTTGTACGTATATGTTAAAGTTTGTTAAAGTGAAAAATCAATTTATCTCCTAAATTTAAACTGTGTCCAATGTCCCCTCACTTCACTGTAGGATACATCTATTATTCAGGATGAGTGAACAGTGCAGCAGAAAGTGTCAGCTACCAGGAACTGTTTTCAGAGCACAGAATAGTCTCACTGGATGGAAACAGACTTTATAATTCATTAGAACAGAGTTCTATCCGTCTAACAATTGGACACCTTCACAAAACTACCACCTCATGGCTTTTGTTTTGCAGGATCAGCATTCAATAAGAGGCCATCTTTTACTGCTTTAATGTCAAAAACTGCAAAATGAAATCAGTGAGGTGAAAGCTTTGTAACACCTGGTGGAAGCTGGGGAGTGAGAGTTTAGGCTGTGATATTACAGAAATAGAGTTTCTAAAGAAACAGCAAGAGTATTGTCTGGAAGTATGGAAATTTTACAAAATAATTTTCAGAAGAAATGGAAAAATGTGAATAAAAACCTTTGGAAATGTGAATAAGAAATGGAAAACTGTGAATAAGACTGATAGCAGTGCTAAGAGCTCTACATAGGAAAATGCCAGTAGAAAAAAAATAAGAACTCTGCAGTGCACCATGAAGAAGCAGGGGGGAGTAAAATCTATAGAATCTAAATCCAGCCCTTTATGGATTTTTTAGGTCAATGTATGACTTTAAGAGAGAAAGGAAAGTGTGTTCTGTGAAAAGAAGGACTGGCATTCATTAACAGACCTGGCTCCTGCCCACAACCCTAATATTTCTCTAATTCTTTGTGGTCAGGACACTTGACCAACTTTGACCCCTACAAATCTACATCTTGACAACTCAACTATCCCATCTTCCTGTCTGGGTCACCTGTGATGATCTTTTAATTCAGTCTCAGCCACCAAATACTTGCCTTGCTCTTTTGGACTTATCTGACATCCACGATTGAATAAAAGGGTCTGTGTCATTATCTTGTTATTTTAGGACTAGAGTCTGTCCCTGGTACTCCTGAGCCTCAGAGTCTGAGGTCACGTCTCCAGTCCTCCTATTTCCCACCTTCTTCCATGCCACCTCTTTCTCGGGAGTCTCCATGCTAGGCTTGCTATTAGACTCTTATCCCTGTGGCCTGCCCATCTGCCAGGTCATTCCCCTGATACCTGCCCTGTCATCAGTTAGCCAAGGCTAGGACTCCCTTTATCTTGTCTGCAGCTGGTATCTGTACCTGCTGACGGTCACCGCAAGCACTACTTCTCATGTTGACTACAAAGGAACTCAGGAGAAAGAAGAAGCCTACTTAAAATAATTGTAACCCAGTTGTAACCCCAATGTCTGCCTGGAGCCTAGCAAAAGGAATACCATAAGGCAAGCAGGGACCTCAGGAGGAAGATGTTCTTAGAAGCAGCAGATGCTAACCAGACTAACACCCAAAGGCTGCCAAAGAGATGAACCTTTATTTCTCTTTAGCTCAATTTAAGCAAATAAGCTGGGAATAAGAAAAGAAGAAGGAGAATGCTATGGAGTTTGTAGAATATAGATTAAAATCGTGTTTTTAATTTTTTTCAAATATCTTTCAGATTCACCTTGCCTGGTCCTTATAAATATCCTGGGTGGTAGATAGATCAAGATTGATGATTCACATTTTATAGATGAGAAATCGGAGGCTAAAAGGGTTTAAATTATTTGTCTAAGGACACTGACCTGCTAGTAATTGGCAGAGCAGAGAAAAATCTCCAAACTCTATAGTCAATGTCCTTGCTTCTATGTCACACTATTTCCCTAAATGTTAACAAAGTGTAGATAAAATGTAGCAAGCCAAAATAGATATTTTTTCAGAGTAATTAATGATTTATAAATTAAAATATATTTCAATTATTAAATTATTTTCTAATTATCTAAAATAATTTAAAATATTTCAATGTCTATGCAAGTATTAATACAAATTATTAACTCTCTTAAATAATAAAAAAATTATTTTTTAAATATATTTTTATTGATTGCAGAGAGGAAGGGAGAGGGAGCAAGAGAGATAGAAATACCAGTGATAAAAGAGAATCATTGATTGGCTTCCTCCTGCATACCCCCTACTGGGAATTGAGCCCACAACCTAGGCATGTGCTCTGACCAGAAATCGAAGAAACCTGACCTCCTGGTTCATGGGTCGACACTCAACCACTAAGCCACGGGGCCTGGGCTGGAAATTTTCTAATATCAGTCACATGTAGTTTTAATTATAAGCCAGAAGGTTAGAATATGGTACAAGTAACAGAAGTTATAATGATATGCTGCAGGTAGCATGCTTGGGCTTTGAGACATTCCATTACCTGCCAACACAGCCAAATCAATAGCACTTGAAAATAAAAGTAGCAAGACGACAGCTATGAGGCAGACAGCCAACAACTTAATCAGTATGTGCAAGCTAATAGGCCAGTTGGGAAACCCTAGTTTGAAAGGGTCCTTGTTGAGCTTTTGAGTCTCAGACCACATGTGAGAAGACTCAGGACTGCTGTAGGATTCCCTGAAGTATGGGTTTCTTTCAAAGATAAACTGGAGACATTTTTCCAACAGCAGATACTGGGCCTGAGCATGAATCTCCAGGCTTAAGGAAATTCTTAAATCTTGAACATTCCTCAAGTTATTTTATGATGAAGTTTTAAATACTCAGAAAAAAAGAAAAGAAAAGAAAAAGCTGGCTGCTTTTATTTTTCCCACCTTTCCAATTCCCCTGGGACACTTGTCATTTGGACCCAACACGACTCTGCAATGTGTGCGGCAGGTGTGGTTGACTTCATGCAGTGGCGATACGGGGGTTTAACGATAACAAACATGGGGATCAGGGCCCCTAGGAATCTGCATTTGTTGGTATAAAGAAAAGAATTTAGACTAAATATGAATATCTGTTCAAATAGAGCTTTGGAACATACTTGCTCATTTAATACTAGATAACACCATTTCTGCTACTCAGGATTCCAGACAAATCGCGGGATATGCAATGTTATGCCTGAGGCTGTAACCCTGACTAAGGTCTTACCCTATCCTGTTACCTGTTTTTCACATGGCAATTTGGTGGCTGCTTCTCAGCATCTTCTTTTTTATCATTATTTTATAGTTTTTGCATTATTTAAAATCCTTATGAGAAGAACACATGCCTTACCTAGTTTGGAGCATCATAATTCAAAAATTATTACCAGTATTTGAAGGTTTACTGCATACAGCAAGTATGGTGAGCAATGAAGAGGTGGCAGAAGATAGGAGACCTTGCTCTTAACTTATGAACAAAAACATCTACAATTGATGAAAGAGATGTGGAAGAAGTGGTTGGGGATGCAGAAAGGGTGATAAATTATTCGTGGATACCTAGGGAAAAGCTTCCTAGAGAAACAAAGTTGGAGTTTAGAAGATAAATTGGGGGAAAACAAGGGGAAAGTTGTTGCAGGCCTAGAGAACAGCATGAGTGAAACGCGAGAAGGTGTGGGTCAGCCGGAAAACTCCACATGGTCTAATGAAGAGGACTAGGTCATGACTGGCTGCATATTATAGGGAATAGAGAGGAACATTGGCCCTGACTGGTTTTATTCAGTGGCTAGAGCACTGGCCTGGGGACTGAAGGGTCGTGGGTTTGACTCCCAGTCAAGGGCACATACCTAGGTTGCAGGTTTGCTCCCATCCAAAAAAAAGAGAGCGACAGAAAGAGAAACATTGGATTGGAGCCAAAATACTAAGGCTTAAGCATCAAAGTAAAGAATCTGAACTTCTGATCTGTTATGGAAACAAGGAATCCAGTTGTAGTAGAAAATAATTTTGAAATATCTATCAAATAATTTTCTTAAACCTCAGCTGTTCAAGTCAGGTTATTATTATATCTAAGTTTACAAGATTGCAAGATAAACTGTCTGCCAGAATTTACCAAAATTAAGATTTAGGTACTGTAAGGGAAAAAAATGATGATGGGAAATCACTACCAAAATAGTATATGTAACGGAAAAGTAAATTCTTCCTGCAAATTCGTGAAGAAACATTAGCATGTTCCCTCCAGTCAGTAAAAATAGACTGTGAAAGATCTTCAAGTATGTGACAAACATGAAGAGCTGAAAAATTTAGAAAGGTTTTAATTGGGATTATAAAAGGAATGTCTTGCTAAGCATGCAGGCAATATTTATCTTGATTTTTTTTTATTTAGCAGTACTATTTTTCACCCTCACAAATTACAAATCAGATCTGAAGTGGTTTATTTTTTGCAGTTTCATGCAGAACATACACACAAAAAAGGAAAAATATCTCTAGATACTTATCAAGAAAAAGGAAGTGATACTTTATTCATAGTTCTTTTCATTCAGATATAATAACAGTGCTCCTCACCAGGCACCCTTACATTAGTGAAGTCAACATATTACTGTGAAGGATGGAAGCCTTTACAAATATCAGGAAATGAATATAAGTAAAAATGTAAATAAA